TATATATATATATATATATAAAGGCATTACAAGCTTCCAAACTAATTAATATTCTTCCCTAAACCACAAGCAGGGTAGGTTGGGTTTTCTCTGCAAGCAGCACCAGCTTCAGTGCATCTACACTAAGAGCCTGTAGCAGGTGAGGAGGTGCATCGATTGCAGGGGTTGGAAAAAAGTTAGCAAATCATAGGCTGTCAGTGAGTAGGCCCCCTCTAGGAGCCCCTCCATAATAGCACAAAGCAGAAGACTTTATTGTTCCCACACAATGAACATAATGTATATGGTATACATCTGTCACACTTTGTGAGTTAACTTATCTTTTTGGTTTAAGTCAGGGCTATTCAACCGGCGGCCTGCGGGCCGGATGCGGCCGGCGAGTGACCAAAGTTTGGCCCTCCAATTGGTTTATTCATCTCTCAAGCCCAAACCCCCGGTTTTCTACTTTAATTACTTTAAGTTCTTTTAGTTAAACATAGACATGTTTGGTGTCTACAGAAATGTCAGAATCTTGGCTAGAAGCTGGTAAAACCATTTCTATAAAGACAGTTAAAACTACAAGCAGTTGAATATAAAATGATGAAAGTGAAAATAAAATTGGTTTAAAAAATTGGCACATCAGAGATGTCAAAATATTATTCGTGTCTAATAATAGGAGGCATAATGTGTTCTTTTTGTTTTTGATAATGTTTAATTATCACTACTTTTATAGAGTTCTTTATGTTGTATTCATGATTAAATGCAGCAAAATAAACTAATTCAAAGGTAACAGATCTTAGTAATACCTGGCTTATTTACATWATAACTTTAATCGCTGGATGTTRGGCCCCTCAGCTGTTGACCGGKAGTAACTGTGGCCCCCAGAGCATTTTAGTTGAATAGCCCTGTTTTAGGTWCTTTCCAGTGGTAAGGAAAGAGGAAATACATGATGGTTTTGCTTCTGGTTTGTGTCAGTCTGCTAAAATGTAAAGACAACCAGTGACATTGTTTATATTATATGCTGGAAACCATAGTACACAATGAGAATTTTTTTTCTTCATCCTCCTAATACTGTTTTGACTGACAGTCGTAATAACATTATATACATGTATGGTCACATGGTCAGGCAGATGAAGAAGACTGGCAGGCAATGGTCCCTACAGAAATGCACATGAGCAAATTACTGCCAGTAATATTTCATATCAGACTTGAAAGCATTGCATATGCACCCTTGGCAGCTGCACTCTGAGGCAGAAAATTATGTCTATTTAAAATCATTATCTTCTAGAGCCACATTGAGAACACCCCCTCCCCCACCACCCATCTCTCAATGCCCATTCCAACTCKTTAAATCCCAATCTTAAATTTCCCCCTTTTTTGTCCTCCACCCATCTCTTCCCACCATCTTGGGAGTCCATTTTCGAATCCCGTGCTATGCAGGTCAAACTGCTAATAATTGGATTGGAGATGAGATGCAAATTTCAATAATGAATATAATTTCCTTGTAATTATAGAAATGCCAGAGCTGCTTCCGRTTTACTCAAATATCAAAATGTAAGTGAAAAAAAAACAAGCCTTTCAAAGTTCTAATTCATGTTGCTCTAACTTTGATAAACTTATTATTGCAAAATAAATACAGTACATAAGCACAGAGCATGACCTCTACCTAGCCCACAGTGACTTTCATTTTCTTTTGCAGGCAAATGATTTGTTCTGAAACTAGAAAAATGTTCTCCTATTAAGAGCTTGAACTTTAAGAAGCCKATTTTTTAGACATTTTGTTTCTTTSTTCTCTGCAGTGCTTCAAAACAAGCCATCTGTAGAACATTTGTCATGTCAGGCTCACCCCAACATTGAACAACACTGAAAATGATTTTTTGCTTTGATTGAACAAAACATTAAAACACCTCAAATCAAGTATCATGTTTTCACCAGTGATTGATGCTATTGTTTGAGCATGAGTGGCTGTTTAGTTACATTACTTTTGTTTTTTGCAAGGAATGAATTCCCACAAGGTAAGAAAWAAAAATTTGATGGGAGGGAAGACAAGTAGCATGAGTTGCCTGATTAGTCAACATTAAARCAAATAACATAATGATGTACTATGTTGAATAATAAGGCTATATTTAGAAAGAAAAAAAGGACACAAGTACAAGCTACTGTCTCTATTGCTACATTCACACCGAACAAAATTTGAGCATCAAAAATGCGTTCATCAGAATTCCTCTTGCGCGTCAACATGCGTCAAGATCCTCTTGGTTGTTTTTCTCCTCTGCCAGTCTCTGTTTAATGGCAGATGAAATAAGGAAAGTGGTTTTGCTTTATTTTCTGAGAGCAAGAGCATATCGTGCTCACCAGATTATTAATTCACAATTAATTTACCAGATAACTCAGATGAGTTCTGCATTTGGTGAGTTTCAACACTTCAGGGGCTGTGAGTTGACYAGGCTCACTTTCAGCACAATTTTTGTCCTGAGCTCAGTTTGARGAGCCTCTGACCCACATCATTGCCCACGTCTCCTGCCAGGACACTGACTACAGGT